AGAAACTTTACAGGTAGTGAATGAAATTAACTACGGTTCTTTACTGATCTTTTCATTTTAACTACTGTGCTTAATGACCAATAAACCTAAAAAAAATATGAATATGGATGCAGATAAAGCATTTTTAGATGCTTTCATCGAATGTTAATAAAAGTAATCGCTGTTTGTGGGATGTCCAAAGCTGTGAATATAAAGATCGCAAAAAAAAAACGCGGCATATATAAAATATACAAAATTATAATCAATTATAAGCAAAGCACAACCTATACGTTAACTATCAATTTTTTCAATTTTAAAATTTTATTTTAAACACACAAATTTTCACAGCACTACCCGCAAAAGCACTCTTCAAAAATTTTGCCTAATCTTGTGTGTCATACCTGTTCAAATTCGGTCGCTAGAAGAAATTTGAGCAAGAGAGAGCGCAACTCGTATGACACACCAGTATGATAGTCTGCACCCCACTTAAGAATATTACCGTGTGCGCTTATTGTTGTTGCTTTTGTTGTTTTTGCTGTTATTGTTGTAGTTTAAATGGTTTGTTTTGGTTGCGTATTTGTTGGATTATTTATTGTAATAAGAATAATAATTGTTTTTTTCTCATTAAAGTAACTATCGTTTTTAGTATTGATTGTTTTTATTTAGTGTTTAATGTTTTTCTTATATTTTTTTATTGTTTTTAACATATATTTTTCTTTTTACAACTTATTCAAATTACATTAAATATCAAAGAATCACTTTACACTTACTGCACTACTTCACGTTTAATTTTACACTTACACTGGATTTTCATATAATTTACTATTCGTATTATATAAAATCCAGAATAGAAATGGCACACAATTACAGTTTCGCTTTAATACCGAAACAAAACTATAAAATCTAAGCCAATGTGATTGAACTGAGAAGTTCTTAAGTATTTTGTTATTGTTTTCTTATTAGGTTGTTGCTTTTGTTATTATTATTGTTGTTGTTGTTGGAGCTGTTGACACTTCTTTATGTATGCATTGAATGCTTTCTAGTTCAAGTGCTTCACCATGAAACTTGTTTCGCTTCTCCGCTTCTGTACCTTTCACTTTGATATCCTGTTGAGAACTGAATTCGCATGCCATAGTTGGTTTATTTAATATGTAGCATAACTCATGTATTTTCTCTCAGCTAATATTTGTATATATTGTATATTGTACTCTTGTCTTTTGAACTGTTGTGAAAGAACCGCTTTGAGTTTTCTTTCGCTCTCTTTCTCACTGTGATTATTTTCTTTCCAATTTTGAGTGCGTGCGCATTATATGTTGCATGAGAGTCAAAAATTTACATGCATTTTAGCATTGTTTGGAAAAGGAGTTAAGAAATTTTAAAAATTTAAAAAATATTTAACTGTTTTTCTATGATTTTTCCACGTTTCAGGGTTGTTTAGTTGCTATTTTTGCTTTTTATGTGTAAGAACTATAAAGGATTATGCAGTTATTCTGCGTGTATTGAGCTTTTGGTGATTATTTAATTTCAGTATAATTAAATATACGGGAATTAAAAAATATTTACATTTGAAAAATGTAATTTATTAACTGATTTTAATAAAAAAAAATTATTTATATGACAGTTTTAATTAAAAATTATTAATGTCCTATAAAAAGAATTCTATTTTAAAAAGTAATAGTCCACTCCAGTGTAAGTAATTTTTAACGATATATTTTGGTGCAATAATTTTTGAAGGTTGCTTCACTTGATGAATTGTGCAGATTGAAAATTAGTATACATGAACTCTGTTTGATTGTGTGGGTGTAGAAAAGCAAAAAAAACATTTTGAGTATTAATTTAACATTTATTTTGGTATTTACAAATTACATTCAAATTTTTTACTTTTACCGTTCATTATTCACTGTTTCGTTGTGGCATTAAAAATAAAATGACCCTGTAAATAAAGAATATAATATAATATATTAAAAAAAGAATAGAATGAAAATATTTTGCGTAAATTGGTTTCATCATCTTCTCAACTACAACAAAGTATGATCTCTTAAAAAACCTAATTTTAATCTCTAATTTTATTCAAGTATGGCATAGACCTGTATGGCATCATACTGAGCTTAGAATTTCATCGCATCACAAGTTGAAAATACTTACAATTTCAATTTCTGTTTGGCTGAGAAAGAAATTTGTACTTTTTTAAGCGCAGTCATTTCTAAGTATATTAGAAATATATACATATATATTACATTGTGCTATATTAGAAATAACACAAGGAGAAAATCAAAGAAGAAAATCAAGAAAGAAAAGTATTTTTTTTAATAATGTCAAATTTTATCTTCAATGTACAGTGGAAATGGTGTATATAGATGTCCAATTTTGTTTTAGATACATTGTGACCGAAAAGTTTTCGGAAATTCTCATTTAAAATTCGCGCGCTGTATATTTTTCGATATTTTAAGTTTATGTAGTTTGGCAGCACTGTCCTAATTACTATGCCAAAAATGAGCGCGATCTGTCAGACAGTTCGTTTACGGCAGCTGTTGAAACCAGTTCACCTCAGTAGTGCGTTGCGAAAAAAACAATGGAAAAAAATATTGAACAAAGAGTTTGCATCAAATTTTGTTTTTCGAACGAAATTTCGTGTGCAGAATCGTTGCGAATGCTACAAAAGGCTTATGGGGAATCAGTTTTATCGAAAACTCAAGTTTATGAGTGGTACAAAGCCTTTCAGGACGGTCGTACGACCGTCGAAGACATGCCGCGTTCTGGACGACCTTCGACCTCTACCACCGACGAAAACATTGAAAAGGCAAAGGAAATCGTGTTCCAAAATCCTCATGTGAGTGTTAGAGAGATAGCACGAGAGCTAGGCATCGGTCGTGAGATGGCTCGTTTGATTTTGGTGGACAATTTGTGTATGCGACGTGTCAACGCCCGGCTTGTTCCGATTCACCTCAATTTGTTCCAACATTATCAACGATTTTAAGGCCAAACATTCAATAAATACCATCGAACAGCCACCGTATTCACCTGATCTTGCACCGTGTGACTTTTTCCTGTTTCCCAACCTCAAATTACCACTCAGAGGAACGCGTTTTGAATCCATAGAAGACGTAAAACAGAATTCGCAGAGGGAACTCAAAGCCATACCGGAAAGCGCCTATAAAAAATGTTTGATGATTGGAAGAAACGTTGGCATTTGTGTATCGCTTCTAATGGAGCATATTTTGAAGGAGATAAAATAAATATTGATGAAGATTAAGAATTTTGCGTTTTATTTAAAACGCAAAGGAAACTTTTCGGTCACAATGTATATTCGTTATCTAATACTAAACTTGCCATATAGTTTTTGATTGGTAAATTTAGATTCAATATTGATTATTAGGATCTGCCAAATTTTTTTTTGCCAATCGAACATCTTTAAAGTAATCTAATATTCAGCTTTTTACCTTTAAGGTCCAATGGTTAAAGGTGATCAAATTAGTATGTTTAAGCGGTGGTTTTAGTAGGTTCAAGTCTGTGGCTTTCGATGCCTTCCACCTATCGAGGAAAAAAAGATATTGATGTATTCTGTAAAACTTACATAGAACAAGAAGTATGTGTTGTGAAGTTTAAAATCAGTACAACTCTTAAATTATTATATCACAATATACGCTTATTATACTATATTATATAATATATACTATATTGTATAATATACTTTTAAAACTCTTATGCATACTGTAGATTGTACATTATTATTTATTAAAATTAGTTGTTTCTAAACAGCACAGTATGTATTAGTTTTTAAATCGCTTTGTTACTTAAACAATGCAACTTTATGCTTAGTAGTATTTTGTTGGTAAACATAGAATTTTTACTCACAGTCTCAGTTTATAGGAATATTTTGCTCTCAGTTGATTATTGTGCTTCGACTACACTTCACATGATAAGATAAAACTGTTTTAGTTGATGTACGATTTCTGGTAATGGAGTATGTACGTCAGCGTTTAGGAAAATATTTTATTTATTTTTACTTTTCGTGATTAGGATTGAGTGTAGTGTTTTGATATTTTTCAAAGAGATGGCGCTGTTATTCGTTTCATACACTTAAGCTTATTTAAAGCTAAGAGCTTTTCTTATTTAAATATTTAATGTTTGAATTAATTACTTACTTCCATCAGATTTAATTTCATGACTGCTTAATATAAATCCAACCACTTAGGTATCAAGTTATTCAGTTTGTAAGTCGTATGAAATTGTAATAGGTTTTTTTATTTAAGTTCCAAAGGCAAAGTTTCCGACATGTGTTTCACTTAAGCCATATTAGTATGCGCATTTTCAATTAAGATTTTGCATTAAAATTTTTAAATTTTTGAAGATACTTCCAGCTTGAAGTTAATCCTGTGCGGACTCATTTTTTATGCCTTATAATAAATTTATATTCTCACTGAATTATTTATCAAAAATTCTGAAAATAAAATTCCATCTTTTCTTTGTTTGTCATTTTATACTTTGGCTGAGCGCTGGTAGAAGTTAAAATGTATCCAATTGTCAATGTTGTCAAAATTCATTATTAATGATTTCCGCTTGTGCATCTTTGCAATTTTTCCATTATTTCCATTATTTTGCGCCTAAAATACTTTCACATCTCGCATGAAATTTTTGTCTTACACTCAATCAGAATGTGAACGAAGATTTTCCATACTTAATGAATGTGGAAAGTGATGCTTCTTTCTTCTCTTCTCTTCTCTTCAACAATAATTGAAACGACAGCATTTGAAAATTTATTTCGTTATGCAAAAACGTTGGTGTTGCCACAGTTTGTGTACTTAAGCTTCTCCTTCTCCTTCTCGTTCTCGTCCTGGTCCTCCTTCTCCTGCCTACCCCTCCTTCCTCCTACTTTAACACCCAATTAACATGTCTTCTATGCATTCGCCTAGGCA